TGGAGAGCATTTCTGTAATCTTGTCTCTTTGTTGCGCTTTTGAATCCTTCGACATTCCATTTTTTGATTTGAATATTTTTCCCTTTTGCTACTGTCGCTATTTTCTGCCGTAATTTTGCCCCTACAAGATAGTGATCTGAGTCAGAGTTCGCCCCGCGATACGTTCTGACATTAGTTATGTCTGTTGCCCAACTTTTTGAGATGAGTATATGGTCAATTTGATTTGCTTCGTTAGTTCCTGGTATTTTCCATGTTTGTTTATGGATATCTTTTCTCTGGAAGTTAGTACTGACAACTACGTAATTATTTGCTGCTGTGAACTGTGCCACCCTGAGTCCATTTTGACTGATTTCAGTGTGCAAACTGTGTTTCCCAAATATATTTGCAAACGTTTCTTCTTTCCCCAGTTTAGCATTAAAATTGCCTAACGTTATAACAGCATCGTGTCTTTGGATTTTATCACATACATCGTGTAGTTCTCCGTAGAATCTTTCAACGTCTTCTTCATCAGCCTCTTCCGTCAGTGCATATACATTAACCATTGTCACGTTATGAAATTTACCTTTAAATGTCTAAAAATGAATTCATCTAGATTCATCAATCATTTTCTGCCTTAGCTCTGCCACACTTGCTGGTTTAGTTTTATAAATTGTACTTTTCAAGTATCTCAATGAAAATAATCTTTAGGATTAACCTACCAATCCATCATCCGAGAAATGTCTGATGTAAAAACGCTGAACATTTACACCAAAATGAGCTGGATCTCCGTCTTGCTGAAACCATATCTCTTAAAAATGGCACCAAACTGGTTTTTCGGGCAAGTACAATTTCATTTCCAAGTAACATTTTTTAATTATCACTTGTTAAATTTCCTTCAATCAAAAACGCCCCAAATAACTGAGATAATACGCAACTCAGGATGATATCGTCGTCTTATGGATAGAAGAATGGTTTGGAAAAGAACCTTTGAACAAATTGGCTACTTCACTATAAGATCTTTTTTTATTGCCGTAGCCCCTGATCATTAAAACAGTAATTCGCTCTTTTTCATTAAAAACCATCTCTATTGTAGAGCTTTTAAATACCCATAAAACAACTGCCAGTTTTATAACTGGTACCGGTTTTATAACTTTGGTACTGGTACAACTTTTTTTATTGTCTTTGCGTTTGCTTTTTATCTTAACATATTGGTTACCACCTCCCCTTTCTATCAACACCACACACATCACCGTTCGTTTTGGCATTGTCTTTACGTTTGCTTTTTATCTTAACATAATCGTTACCACCTCCCCTACCTATCGGTATGTCGTACATTATTATACGTTTAGTCGTTTGGACGTTACAAGCTTAGTGTCCTTTTGGCATTGTCTTTTGCGTTTCTTTTTTATGTTAACGTATTGGCTACCCTCTTACCATTCCAACGAGCCCTCGTACGTCATGATCTAACCAATATCAATGGAGATATGACGTAATGCCGTTTAATAGTCTAACTATGGCGTCATCGGTTTCGATCCTGACTAATTGGTTCATGCTAGGCCGGTAATGCAGATCCAATGCTTACCGACATTGGCGCCAGTGACGTCACACTGTCTGTCTCAAGTGACCCATTCTCTACTTGCTACCAAAGTTTTACTGTAGTTATGAATACAATTTTACAAAACATTTCATTAAATGTCAAGCTATTCTTATTTTCATTAATTAGGTAATTTTAAAATCGCCTCCTTCTATATGTACAGTATTACTTCAAAACTATTTGGCACTGTGAAGTTTTACCTATTTACGACATAAACGATACGACGATAAAACACCAAGTATTACACATGGTTAAACTTGTATTGAAGTGAGGATTCCAATAATAATACAATATACACAGTGTTGAATTTAAAAAAACCAAAGTGACTAATGATATCAGAAAAAATGTGAATCTGGCAACATTGTAAATTGTAAAATTCGGATTATCCATTAAAAGATAATTAGATTCCCAGACTTTTACTCCACTCTGTATATTTTGTGTTTATATTCAATTCAACGGTTTCATAAAAACAATGAATACCCATTAATCATTATTTAATGAGGTAAAATTTAATATGACGATTATTTTTTTCTCATACACTATATATTTTTTTATTGTGTTACAATTTTTTGGATCTTACACGATAATCCTACTCTCCAGGGTTGCTAACACTAGTTGAAACATGTCCCATACACGTTCAATAGGATTGAGGTCTGGAGATTGTGGTGCCTATGGTAATAGACTATCAGACTGCCACAATCCCCAGACAATGGCTGCAATCAACCTTTGTAGCAATTCCCAAAAAACCAAGTTCAACAACTTGCTCAGACCACAGAACAATAGCTTTAATGAGTCACACACTTAAAACATTTTTGAAAATAATTCACAGCAGAATTGTTAAAACTCTTGAATATGAGATTAGTGACACACAATTTGGCTTTAGAAATGGTATGAGTACAAGAGATGCTTTGTTCGGCTTGAATGTGCTGGCTCAGAGATGCATGGACATGAATCAGGATATGTACTTATGTTATGTAGACTTTGAGAAGGCATTTGATAAAGTTCAACATAAAAAGCTTGTAGATACATTAAAAAGCAAAATATTGACAGTCGTGATCTGAAAATTATATCTAATTTATATTGGAATCAAACTGCCAAGGTAAGAGTTGACAGTCAGTACACCGAAAATATCAAAATACAGAGAGGAGTCCGCCAGGTTGCGTGCTGTCCCCACTACTTTTCAATGTCTGCAGTGAAGCGGTATTTCATGAAGCGCTCTCAGACTCAATAGAAGGTATATCTATCAATGGAGAAGTTTTGAATAACTTACGTTTTACAGACGATACAGTAATAATTACGGATAACAACAATGATTTACAGAACCTAATGCAACGCCTTAATGAACGCTGTCATGAGTAAGGACTGAAGATAAATTTTAAGAAAACTAAATGCATGATCATGACTAAATCTGCACATGCAAATATCCAATTGACTATTGAAGATACTGCAATTGAGAATGTTAATAACTATAAAATATTTAGGAACATGGATAACATCAGATGTAGACCAAACCAAAGAAATTAAGACACGTATTGAAATAGCACGTACATCATTTATTAAACTTAAAAAGTTTCTTTGTTGTCGGGATATAAAGTTAGAACTACGCCTGAGAATGCTTCGATGTTACGTGTTCTCTACTCTTCTTTATGGTCTGGAAGCTTGGACATTAAAACAAGTTCATCTGAATAAGCTGGCCGCCTTTGAATTTTGGTGTTACAGAAGAATCCTACGAATATCATGGATTCAAAGAATGTCAAACATGGAGGTAACTAGAAGGATAGGAAATGAGGCGGAAATAATATTAACTATTAAAAGACGAAAACTTGAGTACTTGGGACATGTGATGAGAGGGCAAAAAATACGCATTATTACAACTTATTATGCAGGGCAAAATCCGAGGAAAGCGAAATGTGGGAAGACGAAGAATATCCTGGCTTAAGAACTTAAGGGAATGGTTTGAATGCAGTAGTGCAGAACTTTTTAGAGCGGCAGTCAACAGAGTCCGCATAGCCATGATGATTTCCAACCTTCGATAGAAGATGGAACTTAAAGAAGAAGAATGGTAATAGATCAATAACTCTAGTTTGAAACAATAATATGTGTACGACAGATGAAGTATTAGCATCCATAAGGTAGAAGTTTTAGCTAAAAGCACCTGTAAGTGTACGAAAAATATGTTAAAGAATATTATGGATGTACTGATATGCTGCCAGCAATCGATTTAAAAAACGAGGTTAGTTGTCTTGTTCATAATTAATCCGCCTCATACTATTATTGTATCACCACTGTGTATGTAGATTTCCTGAGTATGTGTCAAAGGTTCTCATTTCCCGATCGATCTCGTATTCTAATGGCATGCGAATCTGAATGATATCGAAATAAAGATTCATCGGTAAATAAAACTGCATCCCAGTCATTTTTACCCAAGTTTTAAAATTTTAGACACCAGTCTAATCGTGACTTCTGGGCAACGTGGGTGTCTGAATGTGAAATCGTAAACTTGTACCTAACGTGGAAATCCTTAATTAAAAAAACCCAACAACTGTAGGATGTGGTCGTTGATGCGACAGACATCTAGCAATCTACCTATCCTGCAACGTGTGTCTATGCTCTCTGACAGAGAATAGATATCAGAAATAACTAGAAAACTATTGATGACAAGAATTAATTCAGTTGTATTTCAAAGCTCAACATATTGATAATGGTGAATGAGAGTTTACCAAAACATTTTTAGGGTTTTTGTATTTAAAAGAAACCAAATTCTAAACGGATGAACTTTCCTTATTTCCAAAAAAATGAGTAGGTAGCCATTCTATAAATTTTTGTTTGTTTCGAATTTCTTTTATATTCCATATTCCGTAATTCAGGACTAGTTTGGAGTTTATTCCCCTAACCGATATGTTCCAGTTTTTAGACATCAAAAACATACACACTTATTATATATATGCCATTTATTCAGTGATTAAATGACACCCTGGGTCTTATAGGGCTTGAGGCTAGGAATGGTAATCGTAGATTTCCAATTCACTTATTGGAAAATGCTTAAAAAATGTAGGAGTTTTGATACAATCAGAGCCTCAGCAGCTCATCTCAACTCCAGGTCCTTTTATCAGCTTTTAGCCGCTTGTCAACAAGAAAAGTCGAAACAAAAATACTCATTGATTTTAAGACAGAAATTTAATCAAGAAACTCGTTAGAGTAAGTTTTAAAAAAATAATCCTTGCTTACAATAGCAAATTATTGGATATTTTAATGAAGCATAAGACAAAAATAGTATGTATGTGGACCATACTGAGTGTTAATTAAGATAAAAAAAATCTATACTTTCTTAAAGTATTTAAGCAATTAACCTTTACATACTGTAAGAAATCTATATTCATTGTCATTTGTGGGATAGGTAATAACATTTTTTCACTATCACATATATAGAGAAGGGTGTGGTGTCTGTATATATACACCACATTTGTGTCTTTCGAATAACTATTTTTATTTAGTTGGCAACATGTTTGTAAAACTGGTAAGTTGCGCTTTTATATTAATGAACTTTGTGATAAGTGATTTTCGTGATTACCTAGTGAGTGCCAACATTGGATTAAGTGCAAATGCTAAGAGGACTAAGGGTGATTTTGGGTTGGATAATTCCTATTCTGGTGACGCAATTAAGTAAAAAAATTAAATTTAGTTAATTTGGTTTGTTACAAATAATATTCAGACTCGTTAACATTTTTATTGCAGTTATCTGTGATTATTAATAATCTTCTTATTATCTTTACCATATCTTTTTCTTATTCTAAATGTACTACATTTCGATCTTTTTCAACTTAGTTGTTTATACTAGTTCCACGAGGAAACTAAGTTCCTGTAGCTGGCTGTATACCATATATCACAAAAAATTTTTGTTTATAATCCTTTATAAAAGGTATATAAAAATGCCTCGTTAGCCCGTTTGAGGCATTTTTATATACCTTTTATAAAGGGTTTTAAACAAATTTTTTTGTTTATCCTAGTATTATTGAGGTTTGTTTCAATAGTCCAAAATCGCTATCTAATGGGTTATTGTCGGAATTACATATATAAAATATTGGTGTCTAGATTAGTAGACATAAAGTGGAGAGCAACTTATAATTTATATTATATAAGTACACTTTTTTTCTGCTCGCTTCATCTCTACAAATGTTACTTTAAAACTATTTTTAACCGTATATATATAATATATATGTATATAACACCCGAAAACTGCTTTTCTTGACGGACCTACCAGAACTTTTCTTAACCATTCAGAATAATTATCAATTAATATATTTTACATTTACATTTATATCACGGCAATATGGTATCCGAATATACGAGAAATTATACGATGCACTCTACCGAATGTCCCTTCAGTATTGATTACTTTTTTACCTTTTTTACTATAGCCTTTTTTATTCCTTGCATATTTCGAGTATAACTTTTATACAATATAAATATCGAAAATTTTTATTCCCAACCGTTGTACATATCTATCAAGCAGAATCGTGTGCTTTGTATCTATTTAAGTATGTTGTAAAGCTATTTTTTGTAGCATTTTAATAATATCTACTATTTTTAATGGTACACTTACAATCATCATTTAATTTCGTGTAATTCATTTTCTTCTTTTATCAATTATGTTATTTTATGTTTGGCACATATTTCTTCAAATTATGCCTTCCATATTTTTATTCCTTCAGCACATGGTGCACATGGTAGCATATGGTGGCACCCTAATTCTTTCTACAAATAATGATTTTTCTCCTATAACAAAATATGACTTTCTGTTGAATGAAGCCTTTTCTGAGTTTTCATTGGTTTGTAACAAGAATTTTAATCTATACGTTCTTTGCATTTATTCTTCTTCTTCTTAAGGTTCCATCTTCTAACGAAGGTTGGATATCAACATGGCAATTCTTATTTTACTTACAGCAGCTCTAAATAGTTGGCTAGAGTTTGCATTTATAGATCACCTCATTTGTCTACAGAACTTATTTTCAGAACCTGCTAAATTTGTTAGATGACCTGCCCAATAAAGGCAGAAAAATTCTATGCGGTGACTTGAATATTAATTTTGCTGTTGCTCGTGCTACCCAATTATCCTTGTTCAATATATTCGAATCGTATCGTTTCACAATGCACATTAATTTTCCTACAAGAATGGCTAAAACAACATTTACCATAATTGATTATATTGTCTTAGATTTCTCACCCCTTGATATACCCACTACAATTATTAATGCAGGACTATCTGATCATGAAGCAGTATATACTAAGTTTAACACTCAACAAACCATCCTCGAAAACCCAACGTTTAGGTAAGATTTTTTCTGCTCAGAACTTTCGTAAATTCCAAAATGTGTGCTTGACTTATGGTTTTCCTCTGTGGACGTGGACTATAATTTCAGTGTTTTCTAGCTAGGCTTGTCTGTATTTTCAGTAAGGCATTTTCTTTAATTACAATTAAGTCAAGACATTACAAACCCTGGACTACAGGACTACATCAAGAAATTTACTACCAACATCTTTGTCAACAAATACAGAGGAACTTATCTAAAACTTGTCAAAACAGCTAAATAATGTATTAATAAAATCATCTGAGAAGCTCTAAAAATGTTGCAAAAGAAACGTGGTCCATAATAAACGATCTTCGAAATGAAACTAACACAGCTCAAACATTTTCTCTTCGAAACTTTGAAAATATAAATGAATACTTCGTTCATGTGAATAAAATTATAATTAGTATCAACTATTTTGACATAACAAGATCCTATTTCTTGTCTCCCCAATATAAAGTAGGTCTCAAATTCATCTTTCTAAGATTAGTTAATAAATCTGAACTGATCCAAACAATCTATAGTATCAAAAGCAAATCTTCATGTAGACTGGTTTGGTCTAGATGGACTATCCATAAACATTTTCTTAAATCTCCCAAAAAATGTGTTGAAAATCCTGGTCTCACTAATTACTGATTCCTTCGAAAAAAGTATATTTCAGGAGTGTATAAAGATAGCTATTATTATTCCTCTTCATAAGTGGGGCAAAAAATCTAATGTCTGCAGCTATAGACCTATTGCCTTACTACCGATCCTATCCAAAATTATTGAGAGACTTATAAAAGCCCGGACTTATATACTTTCTCGTTGAAAACAACATTTTATCACAAAGTCGGTTCGGCTTTTTATCTAACAAATTTACCAGTAATGCTATGCTTTCTGTACTACATGAGGTATATCAAGCTCTAAACAATAATCTTTACACTACCACTGTTTTTTGTGACTATGTCAAAGCTTTTAATTATGTAAATCACATGTTAATAAAAAAATTAATTTCTACGGAATTCGAGGTATTTCTTTGAATTGGTTTCAACCTTACTTGAGGAATAGTAAACAAACTAGTTAGAGCAAATGATACACTAGTCACAAAAGTTTTGTATGTGGAATACCACAAGGTTCAGTATTGGGTTCTCTACTTTTCCTTTTCTATCTTTATAAATGACATCACTAACTTAAAAATCGATGAAAGAATTATTTTTCTTGCAGTATTGCTCTTTTTTATAATTTAAAAAGAACAGCAGATTGGGCAGCTGTACTACACTGACCGGCAAAAAGTGGCCAGCCTATAAATTTCCGAAAATAAAAATTCATTGGAAGTTTTATACATTGTTTCATATTGTATTCTCAACATCTTTTATTTTTAAAAATGGCCATTACTGATTGATTTCTTAGCATAATTTATGTAATTAGAAGGCTACAAAAGAAAATAGTGTGATAACGAAATTAATTACAAACAATAAAAATTACGAGTGGACTTAAACAAAATTGTCTAATATCGGGTGTTATGCCCTAAAACATCAATAACCGTTTGCATACGATTTGGAAGAAAAGGAAGAAGCATATCTCGAAGCATATTTTGAAGTTCTGCAAGACTTTCTGGCTGGTTAGCTACAATGAAGTTCTTCCCAAAGATGTTCAATTATATTCAGATCGGGGCTACTGGCTGGCCGTTCTAGAGTCTTTCCAACTTTGGAATTCCAACTTTCCCCAAGTAATATGTTAGGAATCTTGTAGTATGCGGCCGTGCATTGCCGTGAAAATAATTCCGAGCTTCAAGTGAGATTCCAGCCCAAACCATGATACCACCACCGCCAAACTTTTTTCTCTGGGACATACAAGTTTGGACATATCTTTCATCTCCGTTTCCAAACCCTCTCTCGGCCATCGCCACACTTCAAACAGAACCACGATTCATCCATAAAGAGAATTTAACTCCAATCCTGTATATCCTAGTGTTGATATTGTCCTGAAAAAATTAATCGATTCCTACAGTGTCTGGTTATAATTCGGGAACAATATCCTGCCTTCTTGTGACTAGCCGTCTTTCATTGAGGCGTGTTCTAACCGTTCTCTTACTTGCATTCAAATTTTGAACCTCCTGCGGACGGTTTCTTCAGCAATTGCAGTGGAATGGCGATTTCTTAAAAGTTCCATTGCAATAAAACGATCATCTCTTTGGTAATTAAGGTAAGGTAACTCTTTTACTACCGGAATCATAAACGTCGACCAAGTTTCTTTTGCAACATTTTTAGAGCTTTCCAGACGATTTTGATAGTACATATTTTTAGCTGTTTTGGTAAGTTTTAGATAGGTTCCTTCGTACTTGGTGATATATTCAATGACAAAGACGTTGGCAGTCATTTTTTTCATGTACAGTAGTAAACGCATATTCTTGGCTGATATGCGGATACCTTTGGTAGTCCAGGGTTTGTGATGTTTTGACTTAATTGTAATTAAAGGAAATGCCTTATTGAAAATACAGACAAGCCTATCTAAAAAATTACTCAAATTATCGTCTATGTCCACAGAGGGAAAGTGCCACCCAGAAGACAAGCTCAAATTTTGGAATTTACGAAATTTCTAAGCGAAAAAATCCTATAATAGCTAAATGTTGGATCTTCGAGGATGGTATGTTGAAAGTAGTAAACTTAACTTAAAGGGGTGAGTAATCTGAGACGATATAATCAATTATGGTAAATGTTGTTTAAGTAATTCTTGTAGGAGAATTAACGTTCATTATAAAACCATACGATTATTGACCAAGGATAATTGGGTAGCACGTTATGTTAAAGTAAAAATATACTAAGTATATTTTTAAAGATATATTTATTTAACAATTTAAGGTGTAGGTACCTTATACCTATGTAAATTAAACTGCTATTTAAACCTCTCACATGATCGCAGATTCAGATAACCCTGCACTCAAAATTGTATTATATCTTTATAAAAATCTATAGGTCAAGTGTATACGTTCAATAACCAGCGACTTGTACTAAGGCAGCTAATTATTCGCAAAACCAATCTCGAAACATGAGGAATTTTGAGCAATATGTAAATTGAAATATGAATGTTTCTTAAATATTCAAGATACTAATTCCGTCATAAAGTAATTGCATGCCAATTATGCGACGAATAACTGGATTAATCGTGACATGTCGTTTTCCTTAGA